ACTTGGTGCAGAACAAATGACTTATAGGGCGTCAGACTGAGTCTACATTTTTCAAGTCTAATGTCCGTTTAATTTTTAATCCTTAAAAGAACAGGAATAAAATAGTAAATGAAACGTACTTTGAGCTACAAACAAGCTAGCGAATCTTGTTATATTCAAGTTCTGTAAATAGCAATAAATTTCGTTTTGCACAACAAATTAGCAACAAATGAGCAACAATTGGTCTTTAAATTTACAAATAGGGATCACTACTAGCTGCGGCTAGCTTGATCAGTATGCTAGGAATCAATTTTAAAATTCTGGAAAGAAAAAAAATCTGAATATTATAAATTAAAAAGTTATTAACAAAAAATAGACGAACTACCTAATGAATGCATTGATAGATTTTGTCTTTATAAACTATAACTCAGAAGTACTTGTCAGATATAATTTTTTACTCTAGGTTAATTTTTAAAAGGAATGGTACAAAAAAAAAATTGGATCCACTATAAGAAGATATTGACTAAAATTACATAGAGTCTGAAGGAAGCAAAAAATTAATACCCATAAATTTTGTAATATTAATTAGCTCATTCATTCTTATTTTGAACGTATATAGTACCGTTTAAGATTTATAGAAAAGGATTTAAAGAATCTGTACTATCAGTAAGAAATAAATGGTTCAAGAAGGGTGCTACTAAGCTTCTAGAAAAATTTCATACTTCAAAGAATATCAAGTTCAAAAATATTTTCGTACAACTATGCTCTTGGATAGGAGAAATTTTTTTTTCTTTTCTTTTCCTTTGAAGAAACGAAATACTCGGTTGAGTCAAATGAAATAGGATCGGCTCATAGTATTTAAAAACTCTATCATTGAATTTTAAGGTATTTAGATAAGTTTTATAAACGATAGACATACTTAATGATATTGTTAGTTTTGGACTCATCACATTGTTAGTTTATACATTTAATAGCATTTACCTGTCCTCTCGGTGGTATCATGGCTAGTTTTATTCGTTTTTTATCATATTGAAGAGTAACATAAGAAAAACATAATTATACTAGAAATTACTTGGGATATTCAACATCGCTACATCCTTTTTAACTATCACTATGGGTTTTGTGAGCATTGATGCTCCATAGATGATCTCATAGTAGTAACTTGTACGGTACTAAAAGTACAAATTAATTATATTATTGGATTTAGGACCATGATATGTAACATTCATGAATCTCCTAAAGAAATCCTACATCCAGTGCAACTTGTAAAGTGTTGAAGAGTTCGTAACACTAGAGTAAGGTTCTTATTATTCTTGACCAGCATTATGACGAACCTCAGGTTGTAGGTAAAGGTTCAAGTACAAGAGAAGACATTATCAGTAGTTTAAAAGAAAGGATAATATATCACTACCTAAACCCAAATAGAAATGTATCTCCTTGTGAATCCGTTACAGTGACCGTTAAAGTGCACCACAAAAACTTACTATGTAAAAGTGAAAAAATCAATTAATACACTTGTAACGCTGTACCCGGTTAGCTTGGCACACTCACACCTCTACCCAGGGCCCAACGCTACAAGTACAACTGTGCAGCTTCGGCCTCTTTGGTACGACCACCGTACCTCGGTGTCGTAACCCAAAGTACCACGCACAGCTGTAGATTCCTCTTTCTTTTTTTCGATTTCACAAGGAGCCACTGTTTGCCCCCTAAAAGCCACTATCCGCGAACCCCAGCCACTACTTGCTTTGATCAAGGAGGGCACGAAGTGCACCTCGCGACTCAAATCACCAGATCACGCAGCCACTAACTTTAACAGACGGTACTCACGGATGATGCCTTTGACCCCTAGCTTCCTTGCGGTCTCCTGTATCTGATGTCAGCGTCGGCCACGGTCCTTCACCACCCACGGTCCTCCGCCAGCCAAGACCCAAGGACAGATTTCCCGGTCAACAGGACACGCGGGAGAGCTAGCCAACAACCCAAACTCGAAATTTGCAAATCTCACGTCAGTCAAGGAACTTCCCGTAACAAAGCGACTTAGCAAAACCAAATCGAATACTGACTAGCCCCACTTCCTTTCTCTAGCTCAAAACCTCGGAAAGAATCCCAACCAGCCCTTTGATTGATCGCCTACCGTCGACCAACAATTTTGGAATGGCTAATTAATCAACAGCGCCCTCTTTTATTAAATTAAACATCCCTCATTCCTTACCAGCATAATGTTTTGACCAGCAAATCGTGCCGGCGCCTCCACCGGTCTGGTCCGTATGTTTCAGACCGTTCCACTCCTTCAAAAGTGGAGGCGCCGTCACGAACCATTTACCCGCCACCAACCAATAAGCCACACCTCTCATGTCTAAGTAACGCCAGCGCCGCTCACCAAGCGCGCTCGCACGACCCATGGCCTGAGAGGCAATATCCGATCACGCCGAGCACACACACCGGCACGCATATATGCAACTTAGGGATTTACCACAGCCAGGCCACTGTGTGCGCGTGCTCGGCGCTGCAACTTCGTCGCACACCTTGAGATTAATTATTTTCATTTAAGTGCATCGATTGTTGTAAAACTTTATAAGTATATTTGTTGTAATCAATATACTTTTGTTATCAACAATAAACACCACCAGCACTGAGGACAGAGTTGTCACTGACTGTTGGTAGCCTATCACGACTGTCTCTGAGTAAGTGAATTCTATTTATTGAGTGAATAATTGTTTTTGCGTTGACTAATTCTGTAAAAACGTTAATAATTTTTATGGTCCTTTAAAATGTTTTTCAAGCAATGCATTAACCTTGTAAAAAGGAATTTATCTGTGCTTAATTACTTATCATTTCTAGCGCATAATAGTAATATATAGTGGTACTCTATTTACAATAAATATATTTATCAAATCCTATTTACATCAAGCGGAGAAGAAGCATGCCATAAACGTCTTTTTTGTCCTAAGGTAATCGAGAGATAGATTATTTCATCATTTTATATTTTATCTCACTAAAAGAAATAGTAGTAAAATTCTTGAAACCATCATCTATTAACTTCAACATGTTCATAATTGATTATCGCATTAGATAAACAAAGGCATACCCGATAAAATTCAAAACAAAACCGGTGATCTCAGTATTGAAGATTTCCTAATTATTTTTCGAAATAATTTTTGTATTTAAATTATTCTATTATTCTCAGTAAATAAAACGCTGTTTAGAAACTTGTTGGTGAATTTACAGTCAGAACATCTTATACGTGTATTGCTGTATTTATTTTGCTTTTGTGAAACGTAGAACTTCTGTTTTATTGGAAAAAGATGTTGTTCTTTTATTACCATTATTCTATAATCGATTGTACACTTCCTCCTAGAGATAATTTCCACTGTGTACCATACTTTTTATTGCCCTAACTCACTTTCAAAAGAATTCGCTGATATGTCATCGAGAGCGCAGTCCATATTTGCAACATTATCTGGGATACGAATTGGTCCATATACGTTATGTACCATTGACTCCAAGCCATACAAATTATGAAAGAATGTGACGAAGTTATGTAAATATATACGAGAATGGTATAAATATATTTTATAAAATTTTCTACATTTCAGAATCTTACAAAAAACTATTAATAAAAGAAAATGACGATATAAAATCTTCAGGTAGGATGGCTTGTAACACCAAAGTACCACAATATTAAAGGGAAAATTTAATCTTAATAGCTTTCCGTTTTTCCAGCTCTCCAAGTATCCTTGTAGCTCTTTGAAGTTCAAACGGAATTTCATTGCGTGAGTTCGCTAATGCGGCTGAGATTCTTAAAATGCTTTGTCTGTTAAATTTTACATTTTTTACGAATATTTAACAACCAAGCAATTTTTAAATGACTCCAAGTGCATCAACTTCATCACAAAATCTTTAATTATATCAATGTTGAATACCAATTTTAAAGGCAATTCACCTACATGGTACTCAGAGTTAATTTTATTAATAAAGGACTCATGTGTTCTAGCTGGTCAGTACAGCTCTGAAAAAATCGTTCTGCTATTCAGCCCTGTGCCTCTCACCATGCAAGGTTTGCAACTACAATACCCGCCATGACCTCAAATACACTTAATAAATAAACGCACAGGACGGTCACAAATAAATCAAATCCCATTAATGAAACAGAAAGATGTTTGTCATCTACATAAATCCTTCCTATCAAAATTTTGTTCAGCTCTATAATAAGTTTTCATAGAAATGATTCGACACTTGAAGGTTTCCAATTTTTTTTCTACATAAACAGCAACTGCAAAAGACTTAGAAGCAGTTGGGTGTGAATCAACTTCAAGTAGTAGGGGCAAGAATTCAGTAAAACTTGAATGGAATAATGGCAAGCCGTCTATATTGAAGAGAAATTTCAACATAGTTTTCTGGTGTAACTTTAGTTTAACTATTTGGAGCAATGGATTTTTTATTCCAATATAAGCAAATCTAAATGTACCTTTTTCATTTTCAAATCAAACCTTGAAATTTAAATTTTGTTGTTGTTTCACTTGAGTCAAGTTTTGTGAGAAGATGGCAGATGCGAATCTACAGCTTTTATCTCTTTTAACAAAAAGTCAATGTGCGTATTAGGTGGTTTGAACTGTTTTGCACATTTGTTTAAAACTATTGCAGTTTACTGCCATTTTTTATATTTTTTTTTAACAAAACTAAGCCTATCAGAATTTACTTCTGTTTTATTATTCATACTTATATTACTATCTGGATAATCAAATTATAAGCGTATTCAAACTTCAGTGTTTTTTTATTTGTAATTGTAAAAACACTTTGATAAGCTTACCATAATTCATAACTGAGCTAGTTTTAAAATTTAAATTTTCAACAAAACAATTGATAATACTGTTATGAAAAAAGATTAGACTTTTATAAACGCACTATCAGACATGGTAGAAGACTACGAAATCTAAGTAAAATTATCCAAAACAGATTTGACACTGTGCACAAAACTAATCCGTCACGAATCTCAATATAACGTTTGCCTGAAGATCTTCCTATTCAGCAAAAATACTCTCAGGATAAACTGCCCAAATAATTAGCCAAGAGAACGACTTATTATCAAGGGAGCCAGCTTTAGGAATGCACTGCCCATAAGATCCACCCATAACCTGATTTACACTACTAAGACCACTGAAGAATTGAGTAAGCTAGGGAATATTTAATAGTGTCGTTGTCACCGATATTGCCAGGATGCTATTCAAGTTAAGACAAGAAACACGGATTGTTTGTATACATATATCAAAATATTAAGAAGAGCAGAGCTTTTACAGTAATATCAGAATCAAGTTTAAGTCAAAAAGTGACTAACCTGTGGCTGAGTCTTTTGCATTCACGCGGACAACGACATCACTCCGAACTTAGTGAGGCTCTGAACTCGTCGGTAGAAGCTGCTATAGTAGATAATAACGTGTAAATTTAGCTATGAAAAGTTAGTGGGATTTTCCAGATTTAATAAATATTCCAATTCACACGATACTTCTGCTTCAGCTACCTTACTTGCGTCATTGCGACAGATCATTTCGCTGAAACAATTTTTTGCAATCAAAGCGAAAGATTCGTAGTTCGGCTTCATTTCTTAAAGCGGCCTAAATTTGCAAGCTCCCACGATACTGCAGCAGTCCGTCTCTTTCAATCAGAAAAACGACTAAAAAGGAGACCGGCACTTGCAGAAAAATATAAGGCATTATTGCAGGAGAATATTGATTTGGGATACATGGAATTGGCTCGTAATTCTACGGTACCTCAAGACAGCTGTAACTTTCTACATGATGCGGTATTACGCCCAAACGAACCCTAGAAAAAAGAGTCATTTTAAAAGCGCCTAAAAAGGATGCAAACAAACTTGCACTGAATAATACATTCTTCTTGGATCCAAAACTTTAAGCAGATATAACGATAGTTCTTGCTCTTTGGAGATTTTCAAAATTTGCATTCGCACTGACATCATAAAAGTGTTTCAACAAATTTTAGCGCACTAAGTTGATGATGATTTTTAACGACTAGTGTGGCGACCACCAACTAATCCACCAGTGCAGGACTTAAGAGCGCTCACAGTAACTTACGGTACAGCTCTAGCTCCATTTCATGCTCTAAAAGTTCTGCAGCAGCTTGCGAGGGGCGGATGTTCCAAGTATTCAGTAGCATCCAAGCTTTTTAAGCATTAGGTTAACGTTGATGATGTCTTCGGCGGCGCAAACGATCTCCACTCAGCTGTGCAACAACATGATAAGCTGTTTTAATTGCTTGCATCAGCAAACATGTCTTTCGGAAAATGGTTAGCAAATTGACCTAGCCTATTTCAAGGGCTCAAAACTGGCGGTACCACTGACGCAGCTATTCCGTTGGATGAGGTTGTATCTACTTTAAAACTTGAATGACGCCTTCATGAAAATAACTTTATTTTTATATTTATGTTATCACCTTGAGCTATCGTTACAATGCGAACTATTTTATTAGATGTAGCTGAACTTTTTAACCCCTTAGCCTGGCTATCATCAATTTTCATTACTGCAAAGATTGTTCTGCAAGGCTTATGCATCGAAAAATATAACTGGAATGTCTCAATCCAGGGCAAGCTTCTTTATCAAGTGGATGCAATTTCGCCGTTCTCTAGCTGACCTCAGTGCTATCAAAATATCAAGGTGGATCGGCTGCTCAGAGATCGGCTCATGCCACCTACATGTCTTTTTAAGATACGTCTAGGTGTGCCTATGCATCAGATGTATATAAAGTTATCCAAAGCACCTTATCAGCGCTGACTATGTCAAAAACAATCCGATTATGCGTCAAAATTTAAGGGAGCATCAGCTGACCGTCATCGCTTATTTTTAGAGGCCTCTGAGTTAGCTAAGACTATTGCTGATCAACTTGTCACCCACGGTACTATATGAAACTTTATATCTCCTAGAGCTCCTTATTTCGGAGGATTATGGGAAGCTGCGGTTCGCTGCTTTAAATATCACTTCAAAAAAGTAATTAGAGACTCTACCCTCACATTGAGAGAGCTCTTCACGTTGGCTGCAAAAATTGAGGCATGCTTTAATTCTTGCCCTTAATGACCCTTGAGCCTTTAGTCTACGGACCTTGCAGCTCTCATTCCAGGACACTTTCTCTTTGGTTTATCGTATCTCTCACATGCTGACACAGCTAGGACTCGAAAATGCACAAGTCTTCGTACTCAATGGTATTTACTATGTAAGATTTACAATTTTTTCTGGAAGCGCTGAGGAAAATAAATGTTACATCACATGCAACAGCACAATAAATGGCATCAACTGTGTCTCAGTTTACGCATGAACAACACCGTCCTACTGAAAGATAATTTAGCTCCACCAGAAAAATGGCCCTTGTGCAAAATCATAGACCTGCATTTCGGCAAAGATGGACTAGTGCGAGCCGTTACCATCAAAATAGCTACTAGTAGTTTTGTGCGGCCTGTCGTAAAGCTTGTCGAGCTCCCATGCAAAGCAGAAGCTATAGAAAAACATTAACCGTTCCTTGAATCTAATCTCAAGTTGTAACAAGAAGCCTTATTCACTTACATACGTTTAACTTTTTTTTAAAACCACTTTATCACTAATAATTTTCGAATAATATTTTAAACGTTATTTGATAATTTCTAGTAAAGAATACAAATTTATAATTAACTTTAAAAACCAGTTTGAAACTTTGTTAGCTTATTTTTGCTTTAGTTAGTCCCACGTGTATTATAAACTTTCTACGTAATTTAAGCTTTTAAGTTCTATGCAAAACACATAACTCGTATAAAACATTAAGAAATATTGTAAAATGATAGACGATATTTACTTTGCTTGCTCTTAAAAAATTTAGCGAGTTCTTTTGATTAGTATTCTTTTTTTTTTGCTGCTACTCAGTAAACCGGGCGGTATGTTTAAGTAGAAGCAAATCATATTTCTAGAATCATAGATGTTATAATTGTTCTTATTAATTAACCTTAGTAATAGATAACAGCATAGCTTAAGCAGGCCAATTAAACGCTCGAACTGAAGTCAAAACAAAACAACGTGTGATGTCAGCTATAAAAAGCTAGTGAAATTTTCCAGATTTAATGAATATTTGAATTCATACGACACGCTTACTTCAGCTACCTTGCCTGCGTTGTTGTGACAGTTAAGATTTTGGCTTTTAACTGTATGGTTGCCTTGCCTTTCAGCTCGTACAGAATTATCTACCATCGAGAATTCAAAGTCAACTCTTATTTTTCATTTTCACTTTAATTCTTCTTTTCTTGATCCTACACATTTATTCAGAGCAGATGATATATAATTTAGTTTAACTATTATGATATATATATATATATATATATATATTTCACTCCGTTTCGTTAAACTAAGTGAGTGTCTATTTTAAGCCTTACAACATGTAAGCAGTTCAAGCAATACTCATTTTGACGGCATTGGATTCGCAATTGTTTCTGCACCCATAATTCATTAACAATTTTGTATCTAGTTTTAAATTGAAAAGTCCTCGAGTCGGTTCGTAAAAGAATAAACAGTCTGTTTTTGATTTTACGCTATTTGTTTTATGTAATGTAAATTTTTTAAGCTTCTTCGAAAGCATTAAGATGACTGCAGAGGAACATTCTATTTCCTTCTCTTCCAGGTAACTTGATTTCAAGTGCAGTCGTTTTAAAATCATTTAATAATTTATTTATATGGGCTACAAACAAATTATCAACGGTAGATTTTGCTCACAGATTTGCGTTATGCGCGTTGCAAGCGACGGTAATATATTTACCATTCAATCCATTCACGTTATATTAGACGCGTTGACTGTTATTACTGAGTAAATATACTCATTGTATTTCTACTTAGCTAGTTCGATATTTTTGTGGACTATACATCTTAGTGATTCACCAGTCTCTGGCAAATTACTAAAATATCATGATTGTAAAACCATATATTTAGCGTTTTTAAGATCGTCTAGGCAGATCATATCAACAAACTTTTTTTGTATTAACTGATTTGTTTTTTAACTGGCAATGGGCAAAACTCCATCGGTTTTCCATTTTAACTATATATTCTTCTACATTATTAAAACAAACGTCTTAAATAGTGGTCAACAGTGTTTTTTTAGTAGGGATTCCGTAGTCAGGACTTAAGTTGTTAATGAAACTTCAAAAATATATTAACTGTACCATAACTGTGGTTATAAGATGAATAGTATGTTAACAGATCAAACAAAAATCTTGAACTTGATTTCAAGTAAAAGCAAACAATGGTTACTTCTCGCAAGAAAACAAACAAATTTTTTTATCAGATTATGCATAAAGAAAATACAAAATGTGAATTTTTCTGCTTTGTGATTTAAGTACTAGCAGAACTATCTACCAACAATAATGTTAATAACATTACTGTATGGAAACTAGCTTGACATTGATTCGTTTCACGGGAATATAAAACATATAATTTCCATTGGATAGTTCCATAATATAATCTTAGTAACTGGCGATTTTCAAATTTTCTGCGGAACAAATCACTGTCTGGCCACTCTAAATTACCAACTTGTATAAGCGCTGCATTAGTATTGTTGTAAGTTTCACATAAACTTTTATTTCACTTCATTTCCATGTATAGTGCTGTATATTAAAGAATATCACAGTAAATTACATGAAGAAACAATTTGTATTCCTACGTCTATTGTACACCACATTACATATTTTATACTTGTATTATACACGTATCCATAAATCAGCAGTTTTATCCCGTTTACCCATCCCTGTATGTTATAAATGGATACATATTCGCAATATTGATGCTCAAATATGTGAATAGAGTTTGGTGAGTTACAGACCCTGGGATTCTTCAGATTTTCTTGAAATTGCTTGTAAGTTTAAGATAAAGATACAAAACCTTTTGTGTATCCTCCTTCTTAGTATAGTACTTAATGAGAAAAAATTCTAAATACAAGAATTACCATTTGTCGTGGTCACAAAGTATAATATTGCACTGATCTCATCGTTTTCCGATGCTTAAGCAATCAGAAAATTTTTATTTAAATGAAGATGTACATATTACAGTACTGGCATTTTTAAATATAAAGTTAGAAGTACAGAAGGAAATAAATTCAGTGCACTTGGAAAAGAGACCCATGATTTCTAGCACATTTCAAGTATGCATGATAGCTGACCTGTCTATATCACTATTTAAAAAGAAAAAATGTACGTTTGTAAGAAAATTTAGAATAAAAATAATGTAGAAAACAATCACAGAACTGTATTTACCATATTAAACGTATATATACTACATTTACAGGTATATTGAAATATTCTAAGGGTTCTGGAGATTTCATAGATGCATCTTGATTCCACAAGATATTTGTATTCTCTTTATATTTCATGTGATAAAATATAATAAGTTATGATGTCAAGTAGGATCACTAGCAATACTTAAAAGGTAAAATTTTTAGTTTTTGTAACTTTAAACTACAGGCATAAAACGGCACAAGGTCATTTCATAGTGATTGCTCTAAATGAAACTATTTGTATTTGTTACTTTTATTATATACAAGTAATGCACAGGATTATGTAACAAATAGTTATTAACAAAAGAGTCCAGAGTAACTAGTGACAATTTCTTGTGATTTTATTGATATTACATGCTATATATATATATATATTAAATGCTAGATTAATAACTACAGTTTTTAAAATTTAGGCATTCGGATTTTAAGTTCTTAGTGTTACTACATTCAACGACTGCGATATCGAAAGTTTGTTGTATAATCTTAACACTCTAACAACCAAACGCAGATTTACTAATTACAGAAAAATAAAAGTAAATGTACTTACTTTATGAACAGTAAGTAGATATGTTATTTAAAACTAAGAAAGCCTGTGTATGTGTGAGTTCACTTATGTATACATTAGTAAAAATTTGGGAAAATGAAAAAATCTCAATGACTGTTACTAAGTTGAAAAGAAATCGGAACAAAAACCTTGATTTCATGCAATTAAGTTTTTTTGTAATGACTTTATAACCATCAGTGATTTTTACTTACACATCAAGGAAAATTTTTTTGACGAGAAATTATACATCATAGTTTTCATTCGTTTCACGTGTATTTTAAAATTGTACCAACCTTTTAGACTTATTAAAATGTTGAACCTCAATTTAAAATTCATTACAGGATCACGCTAAAAGTAGATAAAGTGTGTAACTTTCGATAATGGTAAGAGACTCTGGGATTTCACTTGCACTATCACACAATATGAAGTACACGGCAGAAATAACGATATCATGAGGGATATCTTCATCAAAGCTTTTTTCACAATTGTTTGGTTTTTGTAGTAAATTCTTTATTTTTGACAAAAACAATACATTATGTAATCGGTGCGTAAGATTTACAATTTTTGCACAAGTATTGATTTTGTCTCTTAAGTAAAGCGTAAACTAGAATAATTTATGTGTGAGAATCATCATTATTGCATAATATAGTTTTCAATACGAGTTCGCAAAGTATATTCACTTTGAGTCAATGATTGATAATACAATCTGTAACTAATATTATACAACTCAATGATTAGATACAATAAAAACTTACAGGTTTTAAAAATTTACTTCTAATGAACATAATTTTCTATCAGTAAAAAATCGTTACTTCAATCTTAATACGTTTACTCAGATAGAGTTAGTTTGTACAATTTTATAAATAGTTCAGATTAATTTTGGTGTCGAAAATTTGTATTAAATGTTTTCCGTCTTAAATTTAATGTTTTATCTTCATCAATTTTGTTTCCAACCAATAATTATGTAGTGTTACGTACGATAGCATGTAGCTATGCATGCATGCGCTTTCGCTGGCCCGGGTCCGAAAGGTAGGTGAATAGAGAAGAGAAGTGATAGGAATGTTAGAGCGAAGCAATACAGTAAAGGAAGATTAGCTACAGACTTGAGAGCGAAAGGACTAGGCCCGTGAGTCTAGAATACACGCACAACTTCCCTCAAATACAAGGAGTCCTTATGTAATATAAGTTAACCACCAGTTGCGCTTTTATTTATTCCCGCATCGAGAAACCCACGTAATAATAGAAAACTCGAGTAGGTTAATTTACTAAGAAAAAGGATTAGATAATTTAATATTTTAACAGAGTGTGTCTGCTCTATGAGAAAGACGGTTTATAAAATTACGGAGCCTAAAAAAGTTACACTACAAGCTGATTTAATGTGCCATGGGAGACAGAAAATATCTGATTCAATACAAGAGAAATGTCTACTAGAAAATATTTTAAGTAAAAGTCTCAAACGATACCACGGTAAAGCTATGAAATTTAATGCAATAATGCAACAATAGAAATCATGTGAGAATCTCCTACTTTCTAGGAGTACATTATTTCTAACAGTATATTGTATTTACTACTAAAATTTGAAAAAAAAGTTAATGAAAAAAGTGAGTACGATTTTGCAAATAAAATTTTTGATTATAGTATAACCAGGAGAAGTTACGCACCAAAATAGAATTAAAAGAAAAATTTTAAGAAACTTTTCAACATTTTTATTTTTTGTTCAAAACATTATCTTGCGATTAACACTAAAAGTTTCTTACTTTAAATATTTTTTTCTTTTTCCTGACTTTTTACAATATTCTGAAATATCTCATTTTTCGACACTTCCAAACTCGTTCACCGACTTATAAAAAAGATTTCATACATAATACTGTACATGCATACTTCCAAATTTTCTTTCCCATAATGACTAATAGATGTTAAATCCAAATCAATGAGAAAATATTACAATAAAAGTATTAATTATTAGTAAGTTTACTTTTAAAGTAAAACCACAATCTTGTAGTGCAAAATTTAGCATACAGAAAAAATTCATTAGAAATTCCACCAAATAACCCAGATCGATCCCGTTTTTATCATTAAAGGGTTGAAAATACCTAGTGCATACACCACAAATTTAACTCCTTATGTCTAGAACACTGCTCTCTCTGTTAGAAACATAGTAATCACTAAAGCTAACGTGTTTACTTTTATGTACTACAATATAAAATTCCTCGCTTCAAATCGCTTGGTATTGGATGAAATTTTGTTATACGGCTCATTCAATTAAAAATCTGCTTATTTTGCTATAAAATTAATAATTTGTGCAGATTGAATGTAGTGTATGTGACTATAATATAACTTCTTAGTTCAGTATGCTAAGAAAGTAATGGATTATCTTCTAAAAAGTTACACCTCTTTATGTTAATATTGAGTAAAAGCACTTTTGGATTAAAAAATATGTCATAATGCTGTTTTAAAATAAACTGTGTAGAAAAAGTAAGTGAAATAAGTATGTTAGTCACTCATAGAAGTTTTTCCAAGAACCTAGTCTTATTTTGAAGCTAAAGTTGATGATTATTTTTCAAAAATATCTGTTTACGCTATGCATTATTTCTAAACTTAATGTTAATTAATTAAAAATTACCTCATAGTACTGCTCCAGACTACGGATTTCTAGCTTATCATCACTCCAGTCTCGCGAAAGTTCAGTTTCCTCCTTTTCATTAAGCCAAACTAACTCATTTGTTGCAGATTGCACGAAGTTGTGGAGATTTTCTAAATCAGTGGTACGTTTAGTCGATAGAATCAACAACTCTTCGTAAATTTTGTGTAACTGACGGAGGTGATCAGAGTAAAGATTGAGTTCATCAGTGTAAAAGTTTATTTTAAGTTGAGTACACTTGTCTACTTTCATACAAAATTTCTCAAGCTGTTTATGCTCTTCTATTTGGACTTTTAGTTCAGTTTCAATGCCTGCTAGATCAGAACCGTAGTTCGCTTCAGTGAGCTGCTTTAACCGAGCTTTGCACCAGCCTATGCATTCATTAAGTACGCGAAAGTGAGGGTTAGTGTCAACTATTCGGGTTTCGTTAATTTTAATACGATGCTTTGTGACCACACGCTCTTCTACGGGAAATGATACTACTGAAAGTGGTTGTAATAGATTTTTGTGCAACTGTGAGCACAGTTCCGCCCATCGTTGATCTAGTCCCTGAAATTGTTCTTGAAGTTCAGTAGCCTGAGTGTAATTGCCATCAATTAGACTACGTACGTCTACAAATATACTCTGAATTTGCACTTCAAACATATGGACGTCTTGTTCAAGCAAATCAACTAGTTCTTTAGCATCAAACGGGTGTAACTGTTCAATTCGGCGAGACTCTTCTTTGACACGTTGTTTCAGTACTTCCAGAGTACCATCACAGGTTTTTATTTCACGATACACCTTTTCAGCAAGCCACTGCAGCCGCTCAAGTCGTTTGATTTCTTCATTAATTGTTTTGTCACGCTCCTTTTGCATCATCATAAAATGAGCCCAGCTCTTTTCTAAGCTATCAATCTCCAGTTCTGATTCAAGATCCCGCTCACCTATGCTTTCAAAATAATTTTGAAGCTCAAGATAAATATGTGAAAGCTGTTGCAGATCTCGTTGGCGATTTAGTATTTCGTCATTCTTAAACTTAGTACTTTCAGCTTCAAGTTTTTTCATTTCAAGAAGAATAGGAGGGAAGTAGCAATCCTGCATAAGGCACATCTTTTCGCGTAACCAGAGATAAAAGTTACTTGCAAGTTCACGATACTCTTTCAGACGACGCTGAGCTTTAATATCATATAAGGGGTGAATTGCAGGTGGTTCTGGAAATACATCATACAGCGACGAAATATACGTTATCAAAGACTTTTCATCAGGTTCAGGTGTGTCAACATCTGAAACAAAAGACAAATCAGAAAAGTAAAATCTTTTACGTATGTAACTATTTTTAGTAACAACCAGTAAAAATGTCAACCATTTTTAAAATTTATTCAAACTAAATTAATTTAATAGTCAGAAAAAGCCAATCTGTCACTCCATAATTTATTGCTTGCGCATAAATCATAATTTGATAATTCTTGGAGTTCAGTAACCTGATATAATTTTCTACATACAATAGGCATTAGTCAATTTCAATAAAATTAATCTAGTCAATTACCTATTATTTTGACACTTTCTCTTTTGTTACGTAAGAGTATAAGTAAGTAAGTAATAAGTAAGATAAACATATTTCATTGTATCTAATTTTACGAATACCCATTGCTGAGTTGTTGCATACCATATCTCTACTTTAACTACATTGCTTAATTTCCTTTTCTTTTAAATATGTGATTCTTTCATAAGAATAATTGGTACAAAGTTTCCTTCAAATAACTAACTGATCCATCATACTGGGTAGTACTTTCAGGGTGCAGCGATCAAGTCAAGCTCATCCCAGTCATTGTTGGATTGAATAGGATAATTGTATATCATATACGGGGTCTTTCTCATCAAGTAGAGTGGACAGCCAAAATTTTTAACCATAACATATGGGAACTAGTAGAGCTTTCTGTGAGTGCAAGTTATCTAAATTTTAAGCACTCTTGGGTCACGTGACTGATGTTAGTGACAGTAAAATATTAAATCTCTTTAAAAGCTACTTTTACGATTTTTCTTACCCACAAGTTAAAAAAAAATTGAATAATGAGAGATGCTGAATTTTTATTTCAAAGTCTTAAAAGTGATGGGATTTTGTAATGTATAAGAACAGTTGGACTGGGTCTTACACTTAAAAATATCTACAGCCATATCAGCAGTACAACACTGTTATACGGCAGTGCTGGCCACAGCGATCTCATCCTTAAACGGCGCTATCCTATGGCTATCGCAGGAAAAACCAGAAGTTGTGGCAGTACATACACAGCTAGTCTGGCAATTCGGTACCACCACCAAAAACGCAGTGCTTACTCCCACAGTCACGTGCTTACAGCTAACATAGAAGTACATAGACATAAATGACCTAATTACTGTGTACTGGGTGGTAATAGAAAATAAGAAAAATAGACTGGAAAATTCGTATGCCCAGATATTGTAACACGTTCGGACATTAATAACATTTAATTCAGAATCATACATTACATCATGACAATCATAATTGTTGAATTAAAAGACACTAAGCGAATCTAGCCTACAAAACTTTGTAGTCATGCGCAGTAGTTGGTGCACAGCAATTGTGTCTGGGCTTTAGCATAAAAAATTTATGAAAAATACCCGCACAGTAATAGGAGCGCAGTAGTTGGTGCTGACTCCATAACCGTACGCAGTAATACAAGCAAATGATATCAGCACCAAAACAATTATTTAAAAAAAAAAAAAAGTAACATAACAGAAAAATGTTCGTACTTTGAATTACATAAGATGCTGCAAATAAGGATGAAGTAAAACTGCTTCAATTCACATCGAAAAACATCGAGAAATGAGAAATTCAGCACAATCAAAAATGTTAGAGCGCAGTAATTGGATCGTTTACCCTCATTTGGATTATATATTATGTAGCAAGAATATACATATGGATACAGCGTAAATAAGTGTCAATTAAAAAAATTTTATTTCATTTAATAATCCTTTAATAAATATGATGTTTTGACGGTGGTACCGAATTGACATATTAGCTGTGTACGTACTGCTACAACTTCTGGACTCTCCTGTGATAGCCGCAGGATGGCGTCGTATAAAGATCGCTGTGGCCAGCACTGCCATTTCAGCAGTGTTGCACTGTCGATACGATTGTACATATTTTTTAGTGTAGATACCAATAAACACCAAAATTTTCAAGCACTTTTTAACTTCTGCTTTGAAATTTTAATAGTTAATGAACAGCTTATTTAAAGTAATTAAGATTGCTAAAAACAAGTCTCTAGCCGAAAAACTACAACTGAAAATGGCTGATCGAACAGGGCGGCTCATATATTCGAAATTGACAATTTTTCCAGATTAAAAAACAATCACAATCTGTGTGGGGATTTCAGTTAAAACAATAAAGGATTTTAGTTAAAACGATAAATTGGAAAATTTATAGTATAAATTTGTAGTTTCAAAAAATAAATACAAAAATTTTGAAAACTTATAAATTTATGAAAAGTGTCCGCTATATTTGACCTCTTCTTAGATCTCTCACTTACAGAACTCTAATTAGGCACCAACAAAATTCACCTCCTTTAGGTTACATGTGCTAAGATAACAGATGAATAATTTCTTACACTTACATCATGGTGTAAAGACCGTATTATACGGGTTTAAAAGTGCAAGTAATGATCACGTTTTAACTATTTCAGTCCCAATTTTTCGAGCTATTCATGTAATAAACAATTTTTTTTAGTAGTTCTTATGCATAATTCATAACGAGTTTTACAATATCATATTAACTATTTTTATCTTCATGATTAACCTTCATGACCATTAACATAACGAAAAATCTAGTTTTATGTTATATTCAATCAATTCCGAATAGAAATTCGTCAGAATTGTCTTACTTGTACATCTTTGATATACTGCCTTAAACGTCAACTTCAACAGTGGATAAATCAGATGTTATCTTGAAAACAAAATAACCAGTGGAAAGTGTCACAGAATACGTGTTTAAAACTAAGTTTCTTTCGTAGGTAGAGTTGGTATAATTAATTTTTAATGTGCCAGGCTCTCCTTTACTCTACCAACCTCTCACTGTGATTTTAATTCTTAAAGTAATAAGTAATTAATTCATAAATTTACTAGCAATAAATACAAATATGATTTCACAATTTTAAACATTAGTTTTATAAACATATTGCATCAAATAAGCTATATTAAGGTTCTGCTTAAACATCTACTAAGATCTCTCGTTTTGTGCATTTCAATAACTTTATTTACTTTTAGTGAACCCGTAGAAATTGTTATTTTTGGCCTATCTCGCTTTCCCTTAAAAACATCACCTTTTCTTAATTTAACAAAGTTATAATATCATGAAATAATTTGAAGATAAATTCTAAATATTTAACATCATTCCCTCATCATGCTACAGTTTTATTGAGGTTATTCATTAGTTCATTTTTCAAGGGGATGTTGTCGTAAAACACTTTGGAGTTGGTTTTGAATAATAATAATAATTTTCTTATCATGCTATGTGTTTTCCTCCAATAGTTTAATAAACGTATATTATCAATTACACTATATTAAAATTATATGCGCTACACCTCCCTGCGCGCTCCGTGCACCAACCCCATAAGAAAAGATTTCGAAAGACAAATAAATTAAATGTTTACTTTAATTTTTATCTATTAAATTAATTGATAATGACTCACAAATTGAAAAGCTATTTCCAAAAGTTAGTACTATTATGTTACCTTATCAATTCCAGAAATTTGTTGCTTGGTTTTAATTTCAGAGAATATAGAACGTAATAAATTTAGGAAAAAATGTAAAAATCAGTTTTGTCAAGATATCTTACTACTATATGAAGCAAAGTCGCTAAAACCGTTGTAATCGCTAACCGCGAAAACTATAAAACCGATTTTGCTTAAATTTTGCATACCGATTCTTGACACTTTCTGATGGTTTTAGTATAGTTTTTATCTTAAAAAATTTAGCAGCAATAGCAAAAAATAAGCTCAAAAATTTGTAAAAATACGCCAGCTTATCACTCTAGTTCAGTAGGATCTGCTAGGTGACTTCGATAGCTACCTGCAACATAATTAAATAAGTGTGGTTCTAACAGGCCAGAGCGTCTCGAAAATTTTTTCAGGCGTCTACCAGCAGTACATCGAGCTGCATCAAGAATGTAGGTGATAGTCGTGCAGCTGGGTATCCCGGTTACCAACGACACTCTACTCCACTGGACAAGTGACCTAGGTCTACTTTTACCCTAATCCTCCAGGATTGACGAGTGCCACCAATAAAAAATTAATCATACCGATAAAGTCTCCAGTGGAATAATACGAGACGTGTCTAGCAAAAGCACAACCAGTTCCATTACTTCAGAGTTATATGGCCGTTCCACCATCCAGCATGGTGCCGTCAGAGAATTTTATAATACAAATGTAAGCTAAGGAAGACAGCCCTGAGAAGCGCAGGCAGCCACAACGGCTTCTTTCTCAGTAGTCGTCCCAACAGCATACCCACAGAGAAGGTAGTCTCTAGGCTCACTGTCGCGACTAACGATGAGCGATTGGTTATCCGAGGAACGACCCAAAGAGTATTCTTGGGTCAGTGACGTACCTCCCTTCTTCAAGGTCTCTGTACACAAGAGATTTCAAGGGTTAGAGTCAAGCTACCCACAGCCAGCTCTTTATCATCAAGAATAATAATAAGGAATAGCTGAAAGTTTTACCACTGGCCCTTTTCAGGGGCCATTATAAGTGGGTACGTTTCCTACTTAACTATCAATCTCATCGGTTCTTTTAAAAGCCACCTAAGTTGAAGCTACGTTGCCAACAAATACATTTTTACTACCATTTCCGGAAGCGAGTTTTCGACTTTAAGACTACGTTAACTAAAGACGGCCACTATTCAATCAAGTCAGTCATTCGCTGGCAGTCGTCACGAGCGGAGTTGTCCTTTGCAAGGCTGGAAACCCGAGTGACCGACGACCCCATATTACCCTCTCGACTCTAAGCATTCAACCAGGAATCACCGATCTTTTTCAAGGTCTGCGCTTGGCAAATATAACAGCTATAAAGGGAAAAAAAAACTTGAGCCAACGGGACAGTCTTCATCGGGCAAGCATCACGAACCAATCTCCCCATCTTAGATTACCAAAACAACTGAGTCTGCAAAAAAATGGGTACTTTAGACACTAAAGTCTTCGACGTTACACTAGAACACGTTGGGAAAGAACTCTTTAATTAGCTCCAACGCTTTAGATTTTGTTATTTTTCTCCCT